ACCAGATCAATGAAGATTTCACACAAAGGCACTTTGCAAATATTTAGTTTAATCTGTGATAAACATGTGAACTTGATTACATTATTGGTGAGCACTCCATGAAGGAATAACTCACATCAAGATACTGTTCAAATATATTGTTAAATTGGAGACTACTATCTGAATTTCGTTGCATCGTCGACGAACAATCGATCAAGGAACAACTCACATAAAGATAATGTTCAAATATATTTTTCAACTGGAGACAAGTATCTGAATTTCGTTGCATCGTGGACGAACAATCGATCAAGGGACAACTTACATCAAGATACTGTTCAGGTATATTGTTTAATCGGAAGCACGTATCTGAATTCCATTACATCGTCGGCGAACACTCGACCAAGGAACAATTCCCAGGAAGATAGTATTAAAATATGTTGTTTGGTTGGAAAGAAATATCAAAATTTCATTTCGTCGTCGATGAACGCTCGACCAAGGAACAACTCACAGGATGTTAGTATTGGAATATTTTGTTCAATTTGAAGCAAGTGTTTAGATTTAATTGCATAATTGAGAAACACCTGATGAATGTAGAATTCATAGCAAACAGCTGTTCAAATATATTGTTCAATCGGAAGCAAGTATCTGAATTTCATTGCATCGTCAACGAACACTCGACCAAGGAACAATTCCCAGGAAGATAGTATTGAAATATGTTGTTTGGTTGGAAAGAAATATCAAAATTTCATTTCGTCGTCGATGAACGCTCGACCGAGGAACAACTCACACGATGTTAGTATCGGAATATTTTGTTCAATTTGAAGCAAGTGTTTAGATTTAATTACATAATTGAGAAACACCTGATGAATGTAGAATTCATAGCAAACAGCTGTTCAAATATTTTGTTGAGAGGAGAGCTAAGATTCATGGTTGATTGTATGATCTTTGCTGAGAGTTGAAACCATGTGATAACCGAAGAAATCGTACGCTTATCCCGTGCATGGCTCAGTGGTATTATTCAGAAAATAGATGATCATTTGTTTAGCTTTTTTGCTTAAATTGCTCGGCGATATATTTCAGGATCATCGAATCGTATCGTAGGTTTTTCTATTTCGAATGTTTCGAGACCATGACTGTTACGCAGTCCTTGTTGGATTTTCGGAGCTTTAAAGGTTTGACAACTCCACGCAGTAACTCACCAGATCTGTTTTGTGTGTTCATGTTTTGTCCTTTTTAAACAGAATCGCATTGAAAAAATGTTGATTAGATGAGTTGAAGGACATCATAAGGAAAATGTGTTGACGACAGTTTCTTCAAACCTCGTGAATATTTTATCGTTCGGAAGGTACTGGCGAACCGATTAGTGTTATGAATTATATTTGAGTTAAGTTTTCATCGATCGAAATTAAAGACTTAACTGCCGATTTTTGGACATTTTTATCAATAAAAAAATGAATTCCCTTTGTCCCATTAAAATTCCTTAGACACTTAGACGACTCTGAATTCCCATATAATGAACGCATTCAAATGGATTGTTAATTAGGTTGAATCGTAACCCATTGGTTTCTGTTTGGAGAAAAATCTTGTATATTTAAATTCATCTGAATGTGCACAACTCTTCTGAGATATAATAACTTTACATCAGTTACAAACTCTTTTTTTTTTTTTTTTTTTTTTTTTTTTTGTTAGTGCTTATGTTTAATCGGAAGGCTAATTCACCTCTAAGGTGCTGACAGCCTTTAAGATAACAGTTAGTACAAAGAAGAGAAACGGAACCAAACAAAAGAAAGAAACGAGAGAAGAAAAGTAATGACAATGTAGCAAGTAGGTAGAAAATCAGGTAGAGAGAAAGTATGACAGCGATCTTGAGGGGTAAAGAAGAGAGTATTTATTTGATTACATAAGAATATAAAAGTATATATACCACTAGCACATATGAAACACAATCATGAATATCCTTTATTTATTCATGTATTGATATGTGATTTTTTTTTTCCTTCACATATATATATGCATATGTATATATTTTTTAAATTTTACTTGACCACGTGAAATTGCATAATTTGTCGAAGAAGGTGGAGTTATCGTTCTCTGTCAGAGATATAATTCGTTTGTTTGGTCTACCAATAGGAAGACCTATGATGCAAGGCTCGACATTATAATGTTGTTATGTAATATTCTTAATGTTTTTGTATAATAAGTAACAGTTTAACATATCTTCTTCGTACAATTGTATGTTTTTTATTCTTTTTTGAAGACATTTTTGAAATTTTTCCTTTAAAGTTGGTAATTTTAGTGTATCATGGAGATCAGTTGTTGACACTCTATAAATGCAATATATTAATCTCAGACAACGTCTGTAGAATGAGTTAATACGATTTTGATTTGTAAGTGAAAGTAGACAAAAGATTGAGGCAAGTATATATAAATGAGGCCATGTATATGTTTGAAAAAATTTTAACTTTAACTTAAAAAACGTTGGAAATGCACTGTGAATATATTTAAGTATTGAATAAGATTTTCTTAGTTTTACTAGTTGAGTATTAATCATTGTGTTGAATGATAATTTTGAATCGATATGAAATCCTAAATATTTAAAAGAATTCATCTTTTGGATAGGTTGACCTTGGTAGATTATTTGAATTTTTGGAGTCTGAACTGTTTTATGGTAAATAACATATTCTGTTTTCTTGTTATTTACGGGTTGATGATTTGCTTCGGCATATTTCTCTAGTTTTAGGAGGTCGTTGTTTATTCTTGTTTGAATTTCTATCACTTGCTGCGCAAATTTAAGATAAATTGATGGAGAGTAGAAAATAGCCAGATCATCGACATATAGATGAACGGCACTTGGGCAATCAAAAATCATTGGTAAATCAAAATGGTTTACAATATAAGCTTTAGGTTCAAAACATGAACCTTGTGGTGCTCCACGAGTTACGGAAACTTGTTTTGATAGAAATCCTTGATAGTCAATAGTAATTGTTCTATCTTTGAAGTAATTAATAATCCAAAATAAATAAGAGTAAGGACAATGGAGTTGGTGAAGTTTTAAGATTAACCCTTGGTGCCATAACATGTCAAATGCTTATAGGAAATCTATATATACAATCACTGAGAATGAATTTTTATTAAGAGATTGAGTTAATTGTTCCATAATCTGATTAACTCTTGTTAATGTGCATTGATGAGGTCTTGATCCAGATTGTTGAGGAGGTAAAATGTTGTTCGATTGCAACCATTTGTCAAATTTCAAAAGGAAAAATTTTTCATATATTTTACTAAACGTGGGAAGAAGTGATATAGGTCTTAGTTGGTTCGTTGTTGGGGCAGGATCATCCACTTTGTTGAAGCATATTGTTCTTGCTTGTTTCCAACTCCTATCCCAAAAGGCACGTCTAAATATTGAGTTGTATGCCGAGATTATGATCGAGTAATAACATTCGGGTAAAAATTTGACCATTTTATTTGATATTCCATCAAAACACGACGAGTTTGTATTTTTCATGTTTTGAATAATTAGCTTCAGATCTTGTGTATTGAAATTCAAATCGGAGTTCATACACACTAACTCAATGTCTTCTTGGTTTGAGTTGGATAATTTGTCCCATAAACTTGAGGCTAATATATCAGTTTTATTATTAGAACATAATTTAGGAGTAGTAAATCTATTCGAGAAATGATCATGTAAGATGTTCACTATTTCTTCAGGCGTTTTATAAGTTTGATTATTGTCTGTAATAGCTGAAAAGGAACATGATTTTTTCTTATTCAGGCATTTGACTGTTTGCCAGAATTTCTTCGGGTTAGGAGATGCAACTTGATTAATGAACTTCATCCAGTTGTTTTGTCTTAAAGCTTTTAATTCATATTGTATTAATTTATTCCATGAACGAAGTCTTACTCTATCTTCTTCTAGTTTGGTGTGTCTATATTTGTTTTGTAAATAGTGTTTATGTTTTAACATTGATCTAATTGATGGAGATAGAGGTGGTCGTTGTTGTTTTGTTGTGTGGAGTATAGTTACTCTTTCTTTTACACCATGAAGAAATTTTTGAAAGAAATTGAACCACTCTGACTGATTATTTGTAAATGTTGTTTCATGTTCTTTTTGTATATATGGACCCAGAGTAAATAGAAGAATTCTGTACATATCCCAGTATGTTTTTGAGATTGTAAAGTGGGTGTCTTGTAGTGTGAGTCCATTAAATTCGAAAAATATTGGCAAGTGATCGCTACCAGTATATGGAAGTGTTTGACATTGAGATAAAGGCAAAGTTGAAGTTGTCAGGACTAGATCTATAGTTGTATCTGATCGTAGTGAAGTTTTCATACCTGGATTTTGTATTTCAAGCATACCAATATCGTCAAGCCATCCAGCCAGAATCCTTCCTTTATGATTTATCGTGGTACAGCCCCAACTCGTATGTTTCGCGTTGAGATCACCAACAATTACTATATTTTTAAAATTTTTTGTTAATGATGACATGGTTTTTAATGGCAAGGGTTCATTTTGTGGTGAATAGATTGAAACTATCGCATATGTTTGATTTTTGAGTATAAGTTGAACCGCAACAATATTCAATTCTTCAGTTTTTAATTGAATAGCGTTTAATCTTTTATCGATTGCTAATACAACACCACCATGCGGATTAGTACCTTTGTTAGTAAAAATATTGTACGAGAATAGAATTTGTTTTATTATTTTATCTGGAACACAAGTACCTAATTCATTTAGTGAAATGACAGTTGGAGTGTAGGTTGAAGTAATGTCGATTAAATCACTTTGGTTTGAGTAGAAATACCTTATGTTGTAATGGAGAATTGAAAATGGGATTACCGATATATCGGGTTTATTGTTGTGTTGTAGCCAGTTATTGATTATTTCTTGTTTTTTTGTATTTGTGTTCCATTCAGAAAATGCTGAGAGTCCTAATTTCACTTGAAACTTTGATAGACCAGAACAAAGTTGTAGAAATTTTTCTTCAGTAGTTTTTGTTTCAAGATTGATATTTCTATAATTATTCGCTGTCATTAGAATTTGTAGTAGATGTTTGTCTTGTTGTTGTAGTTGTCTTTGTTGAGTTTTTTGTTTGTTTGTCCGAAGATTTGGTGATGATTTGATCGATATGATTATTATTTCTTTTTGTTAGTAGGGTTGATACTTCATTTTTGTATTTGATTAGATCTTCACGTATTGACGTGCTTCTGGTGTTGACAAATGAACATTCTTGTATTGCTTTAATTGCTGGTAGAATTGTTTCAAAAATGATTGTTTCAAGTTCGTTGGCGACATTTTTGATATTGTCTACCTTCTTTTCTATTTCAATAACTTGACTAATTAATCGTTCTTCAAATTGTTGTAGACGATGTTCAATTTTATTTGAAAATGATGTTAGTATGTTTTCCAAATATATATGATTTTGGTCTTTTTTTGGTGGAGGTTGCTGGCGCTGTGTTGGAGTTTGTAGCAGTGATGCATATGTTTGAGATTGAGTTGAAAATCTATTTTGGTGTTGTTGTTGATGATATGTTGATGCTGTCATTAAAGGTGGAAATGATTGGTTGTTGTTAATGTAATGATTATGTTGATCTTGTTCGAGATGTATTAGTAGCTGTACCCTTTTTTCTTTTTGGTCTTGGTTGATTTGTCTTCTAATTTTTTGTACTTCAGGACAGGCCGAATGACCAGCATAATGATCTTGAGCACAGTTGATACATTTAATATCATTTTGACAGTAATTGTTGAATGGATGATCCAATCCACAGCGAATACATAGTTGAACGAGACTAGTACATTCTTTTGTTGTATGATGATGGCTATAGCATTTCATACATTTGTTGATCTTTGCTGGTGGATAATATTGCTTTACAGAATTTTTCATATGACCAATGGTTATACGTCCAATATCTAGTAAATTCCTAACCTGTTGTAGTGAACAAAAATCAGCACGAACCGAATTCAATGGTTTATTATTATACGAATACATTCTTGTTAATTTAAGTAGTGTTGGATATGAGGAGTTTAAATCTTGAAAAATTTCTTCAATATTCCAATTATTGAAAAATTGTTGAATGACTGAGGAATATGTTGAGGGTAATATCCGAGGTGTTTTTATATCAAATTCGATGTCATTAATCTTGGTCGGCCAATTTAGTTGATTGTATAATTCTTCAAAACTTGTTTCGTCATTAGCAAAGATCAATAGACATTTTTCATGTCCAAATCTACCTGTAATATTTAATGTATGATCGTTTTTATTTTTCCATTCTAAGATAAGATGTTCAATTAATTTTCGATCCGTGACTTGTTCAGTTTGCTGTTGTTAGAGTGTGAAGAATATTCACATCTCTATGCATATACCTAATA